TTGGTAAATTTGTTTTTATTAGGTGTTGTGGCGGTATGGCGTATAGATAAAATCTTCGCAGAGTGGGAAAGTAATGGAGGAATTATAAGCGAAGAAAGTGAGCAGATAATTATTTTTTAATCCTTATATATTGTGAAAAAACAATAAATCAAATTTCCTCGTAAACGTATAGCTCTCGTTCCTACATTTCACGTTACTGCACATAATTCTTATGTACGTCATATATCATGGAACTCGATCGATAACCCTACGCATATTATGACCTGTGGTCATGATGGAAAATTGCAAATGTTTGAAGAACGAGATCCTTGGATAAAACATCTATTTCAAAAGATCCGATGTAATATTATTTTCTATATTTCAAAATATGATATTTAATTTCCGGAAGCAAAACGTAACTATTGCATTCTTTTTTTTACCTATAGCATTTATGATAACTTTTACATGGGCAGCCCACTATAACGTCATTTATTTTGCAGATTCTGAAAATTCAATAAGATTTATTCAAATGGAAGATCCTAAAAAGACTACTGCTGGTCTGATACTGCACCGTGGTTGTGTCTGGGTGATTACGAATTTGTCATATAATGCCTCGACTTTGTTAGATCACATTTTGTCAATTAATATTTTTTCTTAATGATATCCCATTCGTAATTCGTAATAGGGAAGCGCCTCATCCTATTTTCATCCTTTTATTGCTTCCTGCGCTGCTGATGGAATGGTAAAAATTGCTAATATATGTCGTTTGAGGGATCGGCATCAAGTAAGCAAAAGAACCGTGAATGGGCAATTATAATTATCTCGTTATTGCGTATATTAATTATTCTATTAGAGACCTGTTCAAGTTACTGTTTATCGGCTCACTTTTAATGGAAAAGAATTTAGATATTGGGACAATATCAAAGCTGAGGTAAATAGGAAATCTTTTGATCACATTTGAGTGGATAAAATTTTCTCACTATCTGTCCTCAAATCTGCAGGAAACTACGTTTAACAATCTAACCTATGAGAATATGCCTGCTCCAAAATTTTCCTCTGAGGAAGCCATCCAACGAGTAATCTTATTAAATTCTTGTACAAGTTTCTAACAATTCACTAAGTTTATTTTCTAAATTATAGGTTTCGTGGTGTCCTAATGAGTGTGCAGGGGTATGGTTAGCCTCGGGAGGAGCTGGAGGGTTAGTGAGAATTGATTGCACTGAATGGGAATAATTATTTTTCTCAGTAAAACTTTGGAAGATAATATTGTATGTAGTCACGTCACTTTTCTCAATGATGGCAATTAAATTCAAAACATTTTAAAAGGTATATTCAACGTTCCTCAAAAATAAAAATAAGAATTTTAAAGTTAGCCATCATTTTTGAATTAAATTTCCACCACTATTGCCGTTTTCTCTGTCGCATAAATTCCTCTACCAAGCCTTGATACATTTCATCATGTAATCCTTTGACTTGTTGATAATGATCTTGGATTCGTAATAACTCGAACTGTAATTCGGAAATTCGTGAGTTAAGTGCGGCTACTGTGTCGCGAGACTAAGAAAAAGTTGAAATAGTTAGTTTTTAATAGTTAAGTTCAATTATTAAATAAATATATATATAATGGTGAAATTTTTTCTTGTTAATAATGAAAAGGAATTTTTCCTACCTGTAAATCCTTTAATGAGAGTTTAGCTTTCTCGATATCATGGTATTCGGTAGAGAGAATACCCGCTTGATTACTAATATCAGGACCAATAAACGAATCTACATTCTAAGTTTAAACCAAAAAGATAAATAGATTTATTATTGAAGTTTATGGATCTTTATTAGAAATGAACATATAGATGATAGTAATAGAATACCTCATTCGAAGAATTAAGTGAAACGGTAACCACCTCATCTGAATTCTCTAAAAGTTGATCCGGAAAAGATGACTGTTGTTGAACTTTTTTGAACGGTGATATGTGAGGTATTGAAATTTTTTTAGAGGAACCTATCGTAGAAAGATCGGGTGGCTTATGAAAAATTGCAAGATTCGTTACTGGTCCTGGATTAATATATGAATATATAAATATGTTTATGATTAAAACGATAATACTACCACTGCTACTATTATTATTAACAAAGTATTACCTTTGTGATATGTAAACGTTTTTAACAGTTGTCGACTGGCAATATCCCAAACCAATACATTTCCATCTTCGGATGCTGATAAAAGAATAGTAAAATCATATGATAATCTAATCGCGGTAATTCCAGCACTAGAATAACAATTGAATAAGATTTAATTGAAAAAACACACACACAAAAATTAATATTAATATAAACTTGCCCATGTCCACGAAACACTAATCCCAATCCTCCTTTAGTATTGCTGTCTTCAATAGCAACACCTTCAACAGCTCCACCACCACCAACAGACTCAATCTCCCTATTATTGATTCTAGTAGAAATGGCAGCGTTTGGATTGTCCGGTTGATATCCTCTTGTCTCTCGTTCGCGAAACAAATTCACCTGGTATATTAGGTTATTATCACCTCCATTAACACTACCACCAGCAGCAAAGAACATTCTTTCTGCGGGATCAAAAGCAAGACATGTGATATTTGTAGGAAATATGAAAGTTGTCAATAGAGAGCCTGTTAACAAGTCCCATAACTATATTTATTTATTAATATCAAAAAAAAAAGAAAAGATATAATTAAGCGTCGTCAATCTTATTGAAAAAAATCTATACATTTAATTACATACCTTGCACGTATTATCCAATGATGAGGTTAACACTCTTGACGTATGAAAATTACCAATGCCACATACTATATCGGTAATTGGTAATGAATGCGATGACCACGAATAATATGGAGATATTATTGATTCTTCGGTTGATTCGTCAAGAATACTTTAATGTGAAATAGTAAAAATTCTAAGAAATTTTTCAAAAAAGAATCTCTACCAAGTGATGATGCTAAAAAAGCAAACCTGCTCAACAACCAAACATTCACGACAGCATCATCGCTTCCGGATATTAAAGCCACATCATCGAAAGTAAATCTCAGCACATTAATTTTTCTATAATGTGCATCAAAGACTTTGCATAATTTTCCTGTTGATAGCTCAATGCAAAGTAAACACCGTATTAACCCATTATCTCTATTTTATTACGATGGTAGATAGTCAAAATACCTCCCACACGTAAATTTTTCCTTTTTCAGTGCCTCCTGCACAATATGACCCTTTATTGGAGATAACAAGTGAAACAAGTTTATCGGGACACACCAATTTTTGATAAATTTGTTCCTTTGCCGAGATTATATTATTTATTAACATGTATAGGCAATATTTTAAATGTAACATAGATTAAAGAACAAAGTTTTTTTACTTTTTGCCATGAATAAACATGTATCAAGGGTTTATCAGCTTGTGCTGCCAGTATTAAGCCTGTTCTATCCGATTGTCCTGGAAATGGCAGTAATGCCATACTATTCTTCGGAGATACATTCTGTCTAAATGAGTATACAAGCGTGCTTGTTCTGAAATCCCAAACTTTTATTACTGAGTCTGTTGAAGAACAGGAAATTGCTAGTTCTGTTAACATTTTATTTCATTTTTTTTATTGTATCACTAAACATATTTATGTAATTTGAACTAATTTTGTTTTAGTCTCACTCAATATGTGAAATATTTTAGGTAGGAAGAGAATTAGTTTTTCTAAAATTTGCAAATGAAAGCAATGCCTGAATATAATTGTTGATATATCTTTCATGAAAAGATATTTGCTATAAAAATTAAAAATTTTATAACTTCAAGAATTTTTATATATATTATTATAATATATTCTCTCTTATATACAAGATTCTTTTTGAATTTAAATCAATTTTTTAATATATTAAAGTAATATAATATAAAAAATTATGATAACTTGTTTAAAAATGATCATTCTTCAAAAAAATTTAGCTATAATATAATATTTGATATGATTAACTATATTTATATATATGAAATATTTTAAATAAAATTATTTGATAACTTTTAAATTATGAAAGATTTATTATTCTTGAGAAAGCAAAATTATATAATTATAAAGAAATATAATTATAGAAATTTTTAATTATAATTAGAAACCTCAAATTGAATAATTATAAAAAATGTAAATATAAAAAGATATAGTTCTAGAAAGATTTTGATTATATATGAAATTTAAATAAAAAAATATATAATTTAATAAAATTTAAAAGTAAACTATAAATTTTATTTTATAATTTATTTAAAAAAAATACAAAATATGTTTCCCAATTTCATAGTAATAGTCTGCAATATTTTCAGCACTTTAAATTTTTTTAACTATAATGAATTAAAATAAAATTAAATTAAAATATGATAATTTTGGCCAAAAATTTCATTTTAATTTTTTAATTTGCGACAATATTTAACATTATGATTTAAAGATAAGCGTTGATACGCAGATAAACGGCCATCAGAAATAAATTTTTTTGTTGCAAGACTGGGTAAAGGTCGAATATATTTAACTTTGCATCTGTTTCGGTACTCTTGTAACATAGTCTATCCGGTGAGTATCGCATACAATCCCTTGCTATTGCATTTTATTTAATAGTTTTTATTTCGGTGAATAAAAATATCTCATTTTCTTCACATTGTTGTTTCTTTTAAAAAAAAAACATTCTAGAAATGGCCAAAGAAAAAAAAACGGCAACACGTAGCGCAATATCAGATGTCGTGACTCGTGACTACACAATTCACTTGCATAAAGCCGTGTTCGGCAGGTAAAAAAGAATTGAAAATAAAAATCAAAGAATTGATTCCAAAATATAAATACAAAAAAGATCCATCAAAATACCATCGATTATAAAAAACTACACAGGAGCTTCAAATACCGAGCACCACAAGCCGTAAAAGCCATCAAAACATTTGCTAAAAGACATATGGGAACTTCGGACGTACGTCTTGATCCACAGTTGAACAAGGAAATCTGGAAACAGGGTATCAGGAATGTACCGCGTCGAATGCGCCTACGATTATCGCGTAAGCGCAATGATGAGGAAGACGCAAAAGAAAAATTGTATACGTATGTGACGTATGTGCATGCGAATAGTTTCAAAGGTATTTCTTTATTTTTTTTTTGTCAATTTTCATGAACAAAAATGCAACATTAATCGTTATTATCTTTCATTAGGCTTAGAAACTACAGTTGTAGAAGATTAAATTGAATAAATAAAAAAATCTATTAAACGTTTTATTGATATCAATATCGTATCAATAGAAATGATAATTTATTATGATATCAAAATATATGTTGTCTTTTATTATTATAATCAATAGGACAATGCTAATATAAACATCGTTTACGATTATAGTATCCTGAATATAGCTAAGAATTTCAGAATTCTCGTTTCTCAGATAACTCAAATTATTAGTATACCTAGAATCTCGATTCCCGATTCTCACTGGAAAATGTCTTCGAATACAAATGTGTCGTTAAATAAGCTATTTAACCTAAAATTATACGAATAACTATTGTATGCCTAATACCCATGAATCTATTGAGAAATCGACTATCTATCATTGAATTTTTATGCAATACTATAAAGTATTTATTATGATGAAGTTAATGTCACCAGTAAAAAATTTGGTTAATGCAATCTATAATTTCATTCTTATTCAAAATCAAACAAAGAATTACTATAGGAAATTATAACGACCAAGGTAATCTATATTTTTTCGCTTTCAGCCGTACTTTTGTCTTCTGATATGACTTTTCCAGTTTCTAATATGATTTCTTTTCTTTAGCATTTATTCTTTTTCTTTAATGCATTATTTCAATTTGCATATTTCTCTATTCTTTGTTCATATGGTAGAACAAATTAAAGTAGGTTTGACCTTGTGACAATGACTTCGCCGCAATACCCATCTTCGCCATAATATTTATCATGTCTTTCAACGAGAGCAGATAATTACCGTTAGAACAGTATCATCATTTTACAGTACACGTTGCTTATCTTGAATAATATAAACATCTGAATTCCGTTCCTCGGTTTCGATCATAGACGATACAATATTGCTGTTCATTATCGTTAAGCTTTGACATTACATCGATACTGTTGATTATCAATTGATTCTAGCTCCTCATGATTACTCGTCTAGTAAAAAAGATCAATTCCCTCGTATTTTTTTGATCGTTACCATTCTCATTTCTTAGAAGTTTCTCATCTTGTAAAGTGACTCGCTCGTTAGCATCACACGTTAGGAAATACGCGTCCTTTTGGGCAAAAGAATATCTCTATCTCGAGCCCATGTAACCGTCACCGAGAAGTATGAGTTTTATGCGAAAATATATCTTAGTAGCGTCTCTAGGAAAAGGGTCTGGAAAAAATTGTCGTGTTGCTTTCTTGAACGAGTACCATTTCCGTATACGAATGGATGTTACTTTCAGTGATAAATAACGCGAACTTGAATTAAAATCTGTTCCTCTATTAATAATTATTGTCTTTCTAGTGATGTCAATCGATCGAACCAATTATAATACAATTTATGCATGATGTAAAACAGTTTCGAACTTCCAAAACTGCCTCAAAAGAATTCTTGGAGCATTTCCATACCCACAAAAGTCTGGTATAAAATAAAGTTTGCTTTCAAACAAGTCAAAAAAACTAAAATTAATTTCCGCCAATTGTCCATCATTATTAATATGTTAATAAATGTTGTACTTCAAAATAATTAAAAGAAAAGTCTAGTAACTTCGTCTTTCGCAGTATATTCTTTGCAGACTCGACAGAAAGAAATCCTATCTTTTTCGTATAATGTTCCACAATCTCCACAAACCACATGCCCACAATATAATGCGCACATCCCGTTCTCCATTCCATGATTGCATCTGGAGCAAATCACAATCGTATCTTTATCCAAATCTGTTGTGAATCCTTCGCGTGGTGATGGTGAATATTCGCGTTCTTCTTCAGTTTGAGGACGTATCTGGCCGTATAAATGAATTCTTCGGCGAATTTCCGCTTGATTTTCCATGATATTTAGCTCCATATTATCATAATCGAGCTCCTCCTCCTCATCTGAGATGTATATTATTTCAGTTTGTCCCTCATTTTCCTCGTTCTCTTCATTGTCATCCACGAGATCAATATAGATACGTTCTATCGCATTCTGGGTGTCATTTTGAGAAGATGAGTTATTGGAATTTTCGGGTTGAACTTGCTCTTCACTGTCACTCAATTCAATTACTTCAATAGAAAGTGCTGATTCTCTATTATTCATCGATGTCTCCCCATCATCCACAATATCAATGTAGATAGGTTGCACAAAATTTTGGGTATAATTTTGAGGTGGATTATTGGAATGTTCAGGTTGAATTTGTTCCTTTTCACTGTCACTTGACTCAATTACCGTAGGTGTTGATTCATTACTATTCATCGACGTTTCTCCTGCTTCTTCAACGCTGAAGCTAATTACATCGCGCCGACCCGAATTTTTACGTAAAATTCTATCGCCTCTACGGCTGAAACGATTTCGTGCCACTCCAGTGTTGTTGTCTTGTATGCTTTGTGGCTGAATTCGTTTACCAATTCTGCTGTCCTGAATTCTATAAGGTTGTGCCATTTTCGCTTGTGTGAAAGCTGGTATATCGTATATGACCGAAAGAAACCTATTTTGGTGATCGTCATTATCAAATGATCGGATCATAGTGATCTCGATTATGGCGTCCCCATAGTTAACAGATTAGGAATACAAAAAAAATGACATATCTAATTGCTGAAATCATTAAATCCCACTTATTAAAAAAACTAAAATAAAATTATTTTTTAAAAAAAATATTTAAATATTATTACTATCAATTTACAAGATTAGTACTTTAAATTATGCAAGCAGATTGATAAATATATATTTTAAATTTCATAAAAATTGAATCAGTAATTAAGATTCAAAGTTTAGTAATTAAATTATTTACTATATAATTTTTATATTAATTTTAATCAAATTTTATATAATAAAATTTAAGAAATAATAATTCAAAAAAGTTTATATTAGTAAAATTTTTTTTATAAAAGATATATAATAAAAATTTTTATATTTAAATAAATTCTAATATCTAATAACTTAATTAAATAAGATAGAATTAAAATTTTATTTTAAAAAAATAATTTATTAATATTTATTTAATATATTAATCTTTTTGTACCAGATCATAATTATAATAAGAAATTATTACTAATATAAATATAATAAAAATTATATATTATATTAGTAATATTTAATATCATGTTATAATTAAATAATATTTAAAATTATTAAAATATTAATTTTTAGATAATTAACTAATAAACTTTTTGTAAAATCTTATAAATATATATAAAATTATATATTAAATATTTTTATTTAGATATCAAAAAAATTATCTTAATAAAATCTTGAATAATTAACTATTTCTTAATTTTTTATTTTGTATAATAAAATATTTAAGATCAATAATTACAAAAAAATATAATTATATCATGAATTAATTGAATAAAATATTATAATATTGAATATCAGTAATAAGATTTATCAAAATTATAAATTAATAATCTCTTAAAGAAACTAGAATAACTAAAATATCTATTTTTAATAATAATAATTAAGATCTAATAAATTAGTTAAAAGAATTTATAAGAGTATATAATACTAATAATATAATTAATAATAGAAAAATAACTGTAATATCTACTTATCTTAAAGATTCTATATTAATATAATAAATTATTAATCAAGTTTTATATATTAATAATAATAATAGAATAAATATCTAAATTAAAATAATAATTATATTTTTATATATTACTTTTTATAAATATTCAGATTTAAAAATCTGAATTACTAAATTAGAAAGAAAATAATAAAAATAAAATAAAATAAAATAAAAGTATTAATTTATATATAAGTATTTTATAAGAATTATATAAAAAAATAAATATTAATAATTTTTAATATTTAAAAAATTATAGTTAAAAGATTTATAAATAATTTTTTATCAAAATTATATCTTATAATTAAATTATATAATAATTAAATCTGAATTATTATACTTAATAAAATAAAGATAACTAAATTAATATATTAAAATCAAAAAATAATATTAGCTTATATAAATAAATTTATTCTAATATTAATAACTAATTAAATAAGTAATAATATTATAAATTTTACTAAATAATTATTATATTAATTATTAATTTTTCTAATTAATAAAGAAAAAATAATAATAAAAATAATTTTAATAATAATAATAATAATAATAATAATAATAATAATAATAATAATAATAATAATAATAATAATAATAATAATAA